GCTGTTACTGCATCAGTCCTTTCGGCATTCTTCACAATACAGCGTATACCTGGATCTTTATCTCTCCTTGTGTGGCAAGTCAAACCAGTTTACAGGAGAAGCACACAAATCTTCTGGCATCACCTAAGGAGACAAGAACCCACTTCCAATTTCTCTTGCTAGGAAAGCTGACCCTGTTATTTCAGCAAAAACTATCCCATCTGCTCTGAGAAAGCTTTGGAGGCACACACGTTTCAACTGAATACTTCTAAGGAATGAAATTCAGATTAATGCCCTCCCCACACACATACACACTTTTTAGTCATGTGTTATTGTTTTTTAAATATAATCAGATCTCATTTTAACCTTTGGCAGGATTTTTGCTGTTACTCATTGCTGTGTGCTTAGTGGCTTACTAAAAGTGACATGATGCTATGTCAACAGAGAATGAAATAAAAAAATACTACCTGTAGCCATCCACTGCATTGCAAACTGTACACTGCTTCTTAACCATGCCACCTGTTGTGTATCATGTATTTGCATCAGCTGCAAGCCTTCCTTTACCCGCCTCGGGGTGAGAATTTGTAAGGCCCAGAGAGGAAGCCTGAAGTGATTAAATGCAGACATCAACAACACAGTAATCTTTCTAGACCTTTGCAGTAAATTGCCCCACAGTTGATATAAATACAGTTTAATTACTTACTCAGAATGTTATCTATGGACATGATAGATAAATATCACCCATGGGCTTGTATCTCTATCGCTGTGCTGGTGTAATGTGTGGAGTAATATTCATTCAGCAGGTACTTGAGTGCCCACCATGTGGCAGACGCTGTTCTAGGAGCTTATCCTAAGGCAGTTACATATGTGATTGAGGGCACAGACTCTAGAGACAGAAAGGGTTCTAATTTTGACTGCCGTTTTCTATCTCCTCTTATAATTTTTGAAAATTTACTAATCTTTCTGTAGCTTAGTTTCTTCATCTATAAAATATGAATAATAATAGTATTTACATCACAGGTTTGTTGTGACAGTTGGTGACAGAGCATACTCTTAGAATGGTACCTGATATATAATTAGTGATCAGTAAGCTCAGTTGCTATCATTATGGACATTATAATAAAAAAGATAAAGGGCCACACTTGTGTGGCACTGGGGTGATTGGAGGGACCTATAACCAACATGTCTGTCTAAAAAATCTCTCTTATATTTGCCCCCTCCACCTCACCTTGTGTCTGTAATTTCTACCCTTAGTTATTTCTTGGATTTAAGAAATCACATGTGTACCCACCAATGCTAGCATCTTAACAGTTGTTGATACCAAAATATAAACTAATTGTGAGGATTGTCCCCAAAGGAAAGCAGGTCCATTAAGGTGTGGGACAGAGGGAAATACTGCTTTTATAAGATATGTAAGAGTAGAGAGGAAAAAACACTTGACATTGTTCATTGCCACAGTAGAGATTGTGGTTATCCTCAAAGTAATATAAGGTCCTATATTCCTAGGTAGGGGTAACTAAAGGGTAAGTGGAAGGACCCTGAAAAGAGCTGGCTTTGGCTTTATCCTATATCATTTTGGTATTACAACATGAACAGGGACAACACGATTTACAAAAGAAAATATGGGTAGCAGTTATATGCAGACTCTGGGTTGAAACCTAAATTTTACTATTTATTAGTAGTGTAAGCTTGGACAAATGCCTTAACTTCCTTTGACATCTGTGAAATGGGCATAATCTTATGGGGATGGTGAAAGGACTACCTTAAATAATACGTAAAAACACTGTCTGACAGAAAATGCTTAGTAACTCTTAGCCTTTATCTTACTGTAGCTTACTGTTATTGGAGATGCTTTGTTTTAATTATTTTATTTCTTCCTTTTCTAGTTTTTTGTTTTTTTGGTTTTTTTTGAGAGGTTTTTGCTATAGGGCACATGTGTTCACCAGAGAGACAGAGAGACAGAAAGCGAGAAACCACTCCCGAGGTGGGGTGGCCACGCTGTAATCCCTTCTCCTCCATTCTCCTCTCGAGATCTTGGGCACGCACGCATGTGTGCCCAGTGTGAGTTTAAGCTGCTGGGTCTGGAACTCAAACCATGGTCGACTACATGGGAGTCCAGCAACATAGCCGTTACGCTAACTGCTGGTCCCGGTTTCTTCCTTTTCTGGACTCCCTGCTTCTTTCTTCCTTATGTGTTTTTTGAGAGGTTTTTGCTATAGGGCACATGTGTTCACCAGAGAGACAGAGAGACAGAAAGCGAGAAACCACTCCCGAGGTGGGGTGGCCACGCTGTAATCCCTTCTCCTCCATTCTCCTCTCGAGATCTTGGGCACGCACGCATGTGTGCCCAGTGTGAGTTTAAGCTGCTGGGTCTGGAACTCAAACCATGGTCGACTACATGGGAGTCCAGCAACATAGCCGTTACGCTAACTGCTGGTCCCGGTTTCTTCCTTTTCTGGACTCCCTGCTTCTTCTTTCCTTATGTGAATCTTTAGCTGAATTTGGAGTTCAAAAGTTCTAAATCATTTTGATCTTCATTTTATTATAGTCTCGTAGTCTGCCTTTAATGTCGACTGTTAAGACATTCTCAATATAAACTTGATTGGTGTAGTAACAAACTGGAAAGCAAAGTTTTTATTGTCTTGTTCTATGTCTAGGTAAAACTCTACCACTGGAACTTACACAAATAACTTAATCTCTTTGTATTTTAGTCCCTATCAGTAAAATTAAAAATACCATCTAAACTTAGCTTTATTTGAAAAGTACATATAACATTTGAGAATTGCCCTTCATGAAATTCTGATTCTCTAAAAAGTCAAGGTAATGAGTAATCTAATCCAATTCCATTTGGTCGTAACAGTTAAGAAAGAATAAGCATCTATATTCAGTTTTTGATCTTCATGAATGCCAAGGTTTTAAGAGACTATTAGGTAATTCTGAATTACTCCACTGAGCAGATAAGCAATTACGATTGGTAGCGTAATTTTAAATAAATGCTAAAGTATTGGTGTGGAGACAATTAAACTTCATTAACTGAGGTTATCAAAACTGGAGATTTAGGAAAATTTGACCTGAATTGAGCTTTCCATTCACAATATATAAAGGAGGAATTTTCTAATCAAAATGATAGTATTTTCTCTTCTGTCTTCACCTAGCTTTAGAAAAGGCTCTGAAACCCATTTATTCTAGAATGAATCTGTTTTTTAAAGCCCCCCCCCATAGGGCATATGCACTTGCCAAAGAGAGACAGTAAGCAGGAAAGTGATAAGTCATCCCTCAGCATAGATGGCTCATTGCAATCCCTTCTCCTCTATTCTCCTCCTGGGATTTTGGGTATGTACACACACACAGCATGATTTTCAAGCTGCTAGGTCCAGGACTCAAACCATACTTGACCATGTGGGAGTCCAGCACATTAGCCACATGCCACCTCATGGCCCCATGAATCTATTTATTGATTGCTGAGAATATTCCTCCATGAAGAATAGGTACAGTTTAACTTTATCGCCAAGCATTAAGCTCAAGAAATGAAACTTACATTGTGGAATTGCACTTGCCATTTGGTGGACAGAGAAATTATCATTTGAACACAGGCGTCTTTTAAATAGCCTTGAAGCTGCACTGCAATGTCAAGTAGATACATTTTCCCCGAAGGCTAGCACAGCATATGCCAGTGCAAGCTTGCTACTGTCTATACAGTACACTTAAAACGGCATGGAGCAGAAATGGCGGAAAAAGTTTAACTTACTTGCCAGTGCTAGTTGATTATCATTATTTACATAAATCTCTGCGAAGGAGAGTATTGAGACTTAAGTTCTAAATTAGAGGAGGAAAAGAGTTTGTGATTGATTAACAGTCAGTGAAGGAAAGGGAGCAACAGAACTTGTGTTAAATACTTTCAGTCAAACTTGCAAACCTTAATTCTTCAATAACAAAAGCTATGTCTTTTTTTTTTTTTATGAGCATGAGGAAGAATATAGTTTCTTATACAAAAGAAATGTTTTTTTTTTTTTTTTTTTTTTTTTTTTTTTATGAGCGAGAGGAAGAATGGGAAAGAGAAAGAAAAAGTGAGAGAGACAGGTTTTTTTTTTTTAAAGAATTATTTTATTTAACTTTATTCATTTATTTTAATTTGACCAGAGAGGGACAGAATGAGAGAAAGCAAGAAAGCAAATCACCAGGTCCAGGACTCAGACCATGGTTGTCCATGTGGGAGTCCAGCACCCTTAACTGCCATGCCACCTGCCAAACTCAAGACAGACATTTTTGGCAGGGCTTCACCCTTGCAATTCTTTGTCCTAGCCTCCTAGTTAGCTGGGATTACAGGTATGCACTACTGTACTCTGCCCATTCAGTTGTTCTGGGATCTGAACCCAGACCTCTAATGTGGCCCCAGCCTTGTGCCACTGCAGCTGGATCCCTTACTTATTTTTATATCACCATTGCCCAGCTTGGACCACTATGGGCTTTTATTAACTGTTTCTTATTAACCAATACTTCTTTTACTTTGTACCATATATATTTCCCCTAGATACTTTACCTGTAATACTTTTTTATAAAGATATAAGCACAGAAACTAAGAATGAATTGTAACATCATTTGAGAACAAATGGACTGAAAGTTTGTGACTAGAATCCACTACTTATCCCCTCAGTCCTAGAGCCCATCTCTTTGGCAGAGAACCCTCAGATGGCTATGAAATATACTTGTTATATAAAAATATATTTGTTTTGGGACTAGTCAGATGGCATAGTGATTAAAGTGGCTGTGTCCCACATACCCAACTGCATGGTTCGATTCCTGGACCTGGCTGCTTGAAAAGCATGCTGGGTACTTGGGCATGTATACCCAGAATCCTGAGAGGAGAATGTAGGAGAAGGGATTAAGGCATGGTCATTCCCCTGGAGAGGTACTTTCTCCCTTTCTCTCTTCCCTCTCTCTCTTTCACACACTCCATTTCTACCCCCCCCAAAAGAAATATATTTGTTGTATACCAACAACTTTTTTCATTCTTTCCCAAGGTCTGTCGAGTTGCTTATGAAATCATGCAAACACTGCATCCTGATGCCTCTGCAAACTTCCATTCTTTAGATGACATCTACTATTTTGGAGGCCAGAATGCCCACAACCAGATTGCTATTTATCCTCACCAACCTCGAACTGCAGATGAAATCCCCATGGAACCAGGAGATATCATTGGTGTAGCTGGAAATCACTGGGATGGCTATTCTAAAGGTGTCAACAGGAAACTGGGAAGGACGGGCCTGTATCCCTCCTACAAAGTCCGAGAGAAGATAGAAACGGTTAAGTACCCCACATATCCTGAAGCTGAAAAATAAAGCTCAGATGGAAGAGGTGGACAACCAAACTCAATTCAAACCATTTGAGCTAAACAGTAGATGACGAAGGCCCGAACCTAACAACATATGGTGAAATGAGTAGCCACCCTCGGCACCAGGAGCAGCTGGAACTGACAGACAGATCCTTCACTGGTGGAATTCCTCTTTAACAAGGGCTACAATGCCCTCCAGCCCATTCACAGTACAATAATGTACTCACATATAACATGCAAACAGGTTGTTTTCTACTTTGCCCCTCCTTTCAATATTATGTCCCCATGAAACAAACACTGCCACATTGTGTAATTTAAGTGACACAGACATTTTGTGTGAGACTTCAAACATGGTGCCTATACCTGAAAGACCTATGTGACCTATTAAGAAGATGTGAACAGCTCCCTACTGTGAGGAAGTTGATTCTTATCCACTGGTGGTGTTGTGACCACTGAATTCACTCCAATCAACAGGTTCAGAATGAGAATGGATGCTTTTTCCTTTATAAGGTTGTTTGGATTTTTTTTTTTTAAGTAATTGCATCAGTTCATTCACCTCATCATTAATAAGTGAAGGATACATCAAAAAATAAAATATTCACTCTCCATTAGGAACTTTTGTAAAACAATGTCTTGAACAAATTCTTTAGTACTCAATGTTTCTGGACATTCTCTTTGATAACAAAAATAAATTTTAAAAAGTAGAGTTTTGTAAAGTTTCTAGAATGCTGTATCATTGGATATTGCGGTGATTGGCTTTCTAGTGGAAGAACTATGATAAAAAAAGAGTTTTATAGTTTTTCAGTTTCTTTACTTTTTTTGTTTCTTGTAGGTTGACTAATCAGGCCTTAATTAAAAGGGGCACTGGTCCATTTTAATACTGAAAACTGATTTTAGTTAGAGCGTTTTACAACATTATTTGGGCACTCTCATTCTTTTATTTTAAAAATTTATTTATTTATTTATTTATTTTTGGAGAGGTTTTTGCTATAAGGCGCGTGTGCTCGCCAGACAGACAAAGACATAGAGACAGAAAGCGAGAAATCACCCCCCAGGGGGGATGGTCACGCCGCAATCCCTTCTCCTCCATTCTCCTTTCGAGATCTTGGGCACGCACGCACATGCGCCCAGCGTGAGTTCTAAGCCACCGGGTCCGGGACGCGAACCGCAGTCGACTACGTGGGAGTCCAGCAACATGGCCATTATGCTAACTGCTGGTCCCCTCATTCTCTTATTTTTGATATTGTTTGTTTTAATTGAATGAAATAGTCATACTCCTTGCTCCCAAAGGAACTATCACTTCAGCTCTTAAAAAATCATTTGAGGTCTGTTCTTTAATCTTTCTTATTGTGACTGTCATCAGTTGTTGTAAGTTGGGTCCTGTTAATTTATATAGGAATCAAGTGCCCTTTCTTGTCATATCCTGCTTTTGAGAGTATCAGGAACCTTTGGGGTTAGGAAGCTGACACTATTTCCGAAGTATGTATCTCATGGTATATAAAAATTGATGAACAGAACAGAGGGAGATATTGTGAAACTCAAAATGAATCTGGGATTATCGCTTCGAAATACTTCCTCTTAGTAATTCCATGTTAGAATCACTTTGGAAGGTAAGATTCTAATACTCTTTTTCTAAGCATCCTTTTTCTCCTCATGAAAAAAACATTCCCCATCTGTACATAGCCTGCCCCATACGATGTGTGGCAGAGATATTATACATCCTGTGTTCTGCCCTCTAAAATAAAACCTTGATCCATATAGGAATTAGTGTCAGACCTGGTGTTAAATATCAGCAATTTTGGGTGCTTACAGGTGGCATGGTAGTTAAAGGTGCTAGATTCCCCCATGGCCAACTGCAGTTTGAGTCCCAGACCTGGAGGCTGCTTGCTTTCTCACTTTCTCTCTCTCTCTGTTCTTGTCTGGTCGAATTAAAAAATAATAATAATAAATGGAATTAAATAATTCTTTTTCTTAAATATCAGCAGTTCTAGACAGAAAAACTTTAGCTATGATCTTCACGTCCTCACACAATGAAAGTACATATTTATGAAACCTCCTTGCCACACTTCCCTAAATTCTTTCTACCTCTCAAGTTAATCCTCCCAATGAGCAAAAATTTACTTCCTGTAGTGTCCATAAACAGTTTTACATATAGCTCTTGTATAAATAAAAGTCATTTGAAACCAACTCTCCAACTGAGCAGAAGTAATTTAGAATTTGTGTTATTTTCTAACTCCCATCTCACTTGTCATCAGAACATTCATAACTGTGTCATTTGTGCCTTTGTAGGAGAGCCAAGGTTAAATCAGTCTTTTCATTCTCTGTCAGCCCAGTTCCAGAGGTAAAAGGCCCAAAGAACAGAAATCCGAAGGAATTAAACTAGGGAATATTTTCCAAATGGAAGCAAAGACCTAATTTTTGGATATTTTATTTTTCAGTTCCATAATTTCCATTTACTTCTATGTATTTTTATGCTGAGATTTCTTCTTTTTATTTACTACAAGTATGTTCCCCTTTATTTCTTGTATATAATTATAATAACTGCTCTAAAGTCCTTTTCTGGTAAATTTAACATCTGAATAATCTTACAGTTCTCTGTATTGTT